AAAAAAAAAAAAAAAAAAAAAATTGAAATAAAGACCAGCAATTTCTCAATTATTCAAAACTTAATCAAAAAGGGTAGCAAAAAAAACTCTTGATCGTGAACAATTAAAGCATCATACCTCGAAGATAGAACCCTAGAAATCAAATGTTGGCAGCTCTAATTTTACCACACACAGAGCGAAAATGAAAAGTGTATCCCGTCGATATTATTATATTTTTGCCGATAAGCGCTTTGCGGTTGAGGTCCGTTGACTTGAATCTATAGGCCTAAATACAATAACTGGGCCGAAATTTGTTTGATACTTAGGGGAGGTAATTTGCTCTTGTTTGTAAGCCCAAATAAAAGTCCAATTACTTTGCATGGCTAAGATCCAATTTTTTGGGTTTTAGATAAGGACCTTACAAGTTATTACAACTAATTAATTGTAATAAAAATTCTATGGAGTCATCGAATGGTTTTCTTATGAAGCCATTCATGACTTAGTGTATTGACACTTGTCTAAGTACATTTATTGTAGGACACGTGTCAATACATTATTTATAAATAATTGTGGATGGCTCCATAAGCCGAGCCATCCGATGGCTCCATAGCAAAACTGTTAATTGTAAATCGGAACTATAAACATTTTCATTTTCATAGTGTAAAAAGTAACTGATCGCTATTCGTTAAGGTTCTAAAACATAAATTTTTATTTAATTTTTCATAATTTTACTCGTTAACACTTGAGATCGACTCACTAATATTGATAAAAAAAAATTCAATTAGAGCTCGTTTATCCGCTACATTATTAACGAGTCGAGCCTCGAGTCCTAGCTGGGTTCGTCTAATTTACACTTTTACTTTTGAGGAATTAAAAATTAGTTTGTCACGTGTGAGGCTGCGAACGAGCCGAGTAGAGTCGAACATTGACCTTATCGAGCAGGATTGAGTTTTTTTCTTTTTTAGCTGCTCGAGCTCGAGCTCGATTTTTAGGCTCGAGCTCGACTCGAAATCAAAATGCTCGAGCTCGGCTCGAGTCAGCTCGAAAATTTTTAAATGGAAAAGTAAAATTACCATTAAACAACATATGCTAATATATAATAAGGGGTATTTTAGTAATTTAACGTATATATCGAGCCATTCGACAAGGCAAAATATGACTCGAGCTCGACTCGAGCTCGACTCGAGTTCGTGCTCGAACCGCTCGAGCACTATTGTTGTCAAATCATATAATTGCGTTTGATATTGGGTTTCATTCGCATTTCCCTTCATTTATTGTGGATGTTTATATTGACAAGCGTCTTATCTTTAAAATATTGTTAAATTGCACTTAAAATCACCATTTTTATTTTTATTTTCTAAATATGTAAATTATTCTGTTGCAGGTTTTTTTCAATTTAGCCAAAGTATAACACTATTTTAAGGAAAATCAAATGTTATACACGCAATTTCAATTAATTTACTAATCAAACTTTATGATAATCACACATAATGGGCGGCTTTCGTGAACATAATAATATCTATTGTTTTTTAATTACGTGACAAAAAATGAAAACATAATAATAAGTACTGCAGCTATGCTTGTCAATTGAAAGTTGGCAGTTGGCACACCTAAATCCTGAACAAGGCATCACTCATTAATCTGCTTGTGTTACACGTTGGATTATTTATATTTAATTAATGCATGGTTGGTTGTGTTTTTATGGGTATGATAGTAACGATTTTGCTATGGAGTCATCCGATGGCTCGACTTATAGAGTCATCCATATTTATTTACATATGATACTTACAAATTTAATGAGTGGAGTCGAGTTTAATGAGTGGAGTCGAGTTTAAGCAAGTTATCTATCATATCATACTTACAAATTTAATGAGTGGAGTCGAGTTTAAGTTCTTTTTGTTTCAGTTCGGGTCTGAGTCTTATCAACACGAGCCGAACTCGACTCATTATCCAATCGAGTCAATAAACGAGTTTGAGATCCCCTCATTTAACAGATTAATTAGTCGAACTCGAGTCTTAAGACCTAAATCGTTTGAGTAATGATTCGAGTTCGGCTAGTTAACTGAATGAACTGTTAAATGTGTTCGATTTAGGCTCGTTTAACGAGAAAATGGAGTCAAACTCAAACGTTAAAAAAGCGAGCCAACAAACGTCTCGATTCGTTTAACAACTCTAATCCATCCACATGCATCTACTACTAAAAGATTAGGACACTTTTGAACATAATTTATAAACATAAATCAAATATTTTGCTAATTAACTCTAAAATTAAGTTTGGACATATTACGTTCGTTCGGTTGGTGTAGCATTTCTACCCGCTGAAGACTATTATTGACCATAAACAAACCGAAAAAAAAAAATTTAAGCTATGTGAATAAATATATAGGAAAATGCTAGGTATCGTTACAGAATTATTTCGTCGGGATTTATAATCGTTAGATCAGTCATATAACTGTCAGAAATAATTGATCTAACGATTACAAATCTCGACTAAATAGTTCCGTAACGGGTCCATAACATTTCTCAAATATATAAAGCCCATTACTATATGCAACTGTAGATAACCTGATTGTACTATGACAACTATTGACAAGTTATCCCCAAACAATAATAAAA